TCCCGCCCACCGCGGCCTAGCCCGCCCCGGCCCCGCGGGACCAGAACCGCGATTTGGGCCCAATCTCTGCCCCGGGGTGTACTGAGCTGTCCGCGCCGCTCGCTGTGCCGCGCTCCGCTCGGCCTCGTGATGCCAGGCACTATGGATCTTTTGCTAAAACCAAGGCTAACCATGAGTCTTTTGCTTATTGTATTAGGATTTTTATGAACTAAGGGTGAAAGCTTTTGCCGACCTTGCTTTGCTGAACATTGTAGGGTGCTTGCAGACATAAGCTTAGATAGCTGTACCACTTAAGGAGACATGTAATTCGTAAGGAATGTGGGGCCCTTCCAGTGAGGAAGATAAAGCAAGTCTTGCTGGCTATAGTGACCTAGAGAGATAACAGCAAGGAAGAAAACTAGCTTGGTGATTTAGATAAGGTCCAGGACTGTGTTGCTCTTGCACCAAAGAAGGGGTCAAACAGCGGACAAGAGAGGAAGACTCCGTGCTTCCTCCCCACGACCACCGAACGACCACCATAAGGGGAAGAGACGAAGGAGGAGTATATGATAATGACTTCTAAGAACTAAACAGCTGACACGAGAGGAAGCCTCCGTGCTTCCTCCCCACGACCACCGAACGACCACCATAAGGGGGGGAGGAAAGCGGGGAGGAAAATAGGCAGATTTAAGCCCTTTGGGGCAGCTTGACCCGCGGGAGCTCCCGCTGGCTTCTCCTGCCTGCAGGAAAAGCCACTTGGATTAAGTGGTGCTGGTGCCTGGTTGAATTAAAACGGCTTTCCTCGTTATTCTCGGAGTTTCATTCCAAGTCCGCTACCCTTCGAGGGAAGAGCTGATCCAGGAGGCAGAGCCCAGCAGAGGGCACGGCAGCTCCACGCTGCAGAGCCTGCTGCTCACCCCCGCCTCATCCTCCCAGCACAGCGGGACTTCTAAGGGATTTCGAGGCTGTTAAGTGATTTTTAATGGCTGTGCCTGGTTCTGTGTGTGCTGGGAACGTGCCTGACTGTGCCTGTAGAGTGAGAGCTATTGCTGCTCGTCCAGCATCCTGTAACCTGTGCAGCTGGAAGGGTTTATCCCAGATGTAGGACAGTTAACATGGAGTGACATGAGCTGGTTCTGGTTTTCATAGTGACAGTTTGTGATCTCCAAAATGTCGATAACCAAATAAATAAATAAATTAGAACTTAATTAAATTAATGCCCCCAGACTGGGCAAACTTCCCCCTTGTATTGCTTTCCTCACATATACAGCAAAAATTCCCCATTTTAGCCCCCCAAAACATAACTCTTTCAGACCAGGATAGTAATCAAATCAGTTTAAAATAAAGTCATCATATTGTAAATGCACCTGAAACCTAAAGTACTGCTAACAGCCGTGGCCAACAAGCCCAAGACCACCTTTCTAGAAAGGCACAGAGAGGTAGGAGAGTTGGGGCATTTCCCCAGATTAGTTGCAAGTGAGAAGGTGCACATGGGACCTTCCTCCTGGAAGCCCCAGATTACCAGAAACTCATGCTCTTTGAGAGGAATGCTAATGTGCAGGGATAAGTGCAGGCACCTGGACTGACAGCCAAGGCCTCCTGCTGACCCACGAGTCAGGAAACTCTGCTGGCTTTTGCATATACTAAAAGAAAAAAGAAGAGAAAGAGGAGGGAAAGAAGAGCCTGGTTCTATGTGTGTGAAGTGTATTTGGTGAGGCAGGAGGAACAAGGCAGATGTGTGAGGTTACTTTTGCCCTTGGCCAGGGCCAAGGACTGTTACTTGCATTGCTTTGGACCCCACTACAGCTCCAGGGGTGGGTGAGAAGTGTGTCATCCTCCAGTATTGCCACCATGCAGGGCAAGAGCAAAGCTCTGGGCAAACTGAGCATCTGGAGTGGGGACAATGGTGTCACCAAGTATTTGGCTCATCCTCTGTGGCAACTGAAGTGGGAATGGGCACCATGGTGGGCTCCTCGTGCTGGGGGAAGCCTGGAGACCTGCAGCTCTGCAGAAGCTGTTCACCAGGGTGGGTAGGTCCAGACAGGCTAATTCTCAAATTTTGCATAAGGATTCTCTTCCTTGAACAGGCCTGGAAGAGAGGAGAAATTGGTTCAGATAGGAGCTCCCACACTAGTCACAGGCAGCAAGAAAGCCAGTTCTTGGTAACACTCTGTCAGT